TGATAGTTACATTTTTGTACTTGCTTGATTGTGACATGTCCAATTTGTAGCTTGAATCTTGGGCTGTCCATCTTGCTAACAACAATACACTGTCATCTTACAGTTGATGGTTAGTCTTTTTTTTTTTTTTGCTTAATGTTGGATTAAAAAAATCCATTAATCACACAAACACACAATGTCAGATTGTATTCAACTTTAAAGTATGGATGATGCAGTTGTCAAACAATCACAAAAATTCTGTTGGATGATAAAACCAGGTTGCATTTTAAATGAATGACACACGAGAAAGAGTTATTTTACATGTTTCTGCTTCAGCAAATCTATTTGGCCCACTTTGTAACCTCTGATAACCATTTTCATGACTAGCAAAACTTTTTGAAAGATTTTTTAAAATGCTCAAGAAACCCAATTTAGTTTGAGATTAATTATGATTTTATGGCAAGGGAATTTATGAGTTGCCTCCACATTAACATAACATGATAAATAACAAAAACAGTTATGTTGAATAATAGTTTTGTATTTCTTTTTAGTACTATATTTTTCGCCAACTTGGATGCATTTTTGCCAACTAAATATTATTACATTATATATATATATATATATATATATTTTTTTTTAAAAAGTTTATAACATAAATATGTTATAAAATCGCTACAAAAATAGCCATTTTGTTTCAACATCCTTGGTGTCTTATCAAGTGATGATGTTGAATATAAAATAAATGGTTTTAAAAGTTTCAAATTAATTAACGATTCTTCACTAGGGGAAAACATTGTTACAAAATCTAGAATGACCAATCAAAACCCAAGTATAGGAAGATTCAAAAGCTTGACAATGAAATCATGTTATAATTATTAAATTATATGATAAAATTTGATATTAAAATTAAAAACTGTCAATTTTAAAATCCAAGTTTAATCACTATTAAGTTTAAAAACTATAAAATTATTGAGGAGAAAAGAAAAAATACATGTTATTCAATTTATTTCATCGTTGAAATTATGTTAGAATAGTAATTGTTGGTTATTGGAATTCATTCCGTATATACCAATTATATATATATATATATATATATATAGGGCATGATGGTTAAATTATCATCTAAATTATGTAAAAATGAAAATAACACTGAGATCTCATTTTAACAGATATATTTACCAATATTACACAAAAAATATCTTGAAATGCTAAAGAGTAAATTTATTCAATAAAATTATTATAAGCTTCAACCTCTGCCTCAAGATGGCTCTGGCATCTCTTGCAACTCTTCTAGACAGTCTCCTTGTTTAAGATGGTGAATGCTGCCATAATCCTTGCCTTTAGTTTATCTTTGGTGTTACAAGGAGTTTTTTTTGGACTCTCACTCAACTGCTCCCCACATATAATTAAGGGGGTTGCAGTCTTGGGAGTTAGGTGGCCAGTGTCAGAGAAGATGTGGTTGCGGATATTGTCTGACAGCCATGACTCGTTTCTCCTGCTTGTGTGGCATGGTGCAGAGTCCTGTTGCCAGACGTAGGGTCTTCCAGCAGCCACCCTCTTGATCCAGGGCATCACTAACTCCTTAAGGCACTTGCTATAGGTGCCGTGTTGAGTCTGAGGTCCTGTAGGAAGATGAATGGAGGTATAATGTCGCCATTACTAGTGATCACTCCAAACACTTTCGTAATCACCATTAGACTCATCCAACTCTTTCCCAATCCTTTGCACTGTCCTCAGATCAACATCCAAACACTCTGAAATGTTCATTGCTCTTTTTCTCACAGATGGTGTCCAAATGACCTTACTATTTTGTGCTGACGACAGAATCAAAACAAACAATACGCATGCATGAAATTAAAAATATAAAATGGTGACAATTTACCCATTGTTCCCTGTACATATATATATATATATATATATATATATATATATATATATATGTGTGTGAACTGCACTATGCTTTCTAAACATATTTGGGAGGTTAAAAAGAAAAACCAAATCGCAACAACAATATCATGGCAAATAAGGAAAAGAACACTGGCCTATAACAATCACTCCAAAAACTATAAACTCTGCCTGGAGGAAAAAGTAGCAATAATTACCTTCTCAGACCAAAACAAACTACTAAATAAACAATCAGAACTGATCTCAGATTGCAGACAAACAAATTTTTACATTACTTAAAAATCAAAAACTGAAAACAAACAGGAATAAATGAAAATAAATAAATAACAAAAACAAGTAAAATAAATTAATCCAAACAAATAAAATAAGTAAATAAACTAAGTAAATAATTAGTTACACTAAATAAATAAAATCAACAAACCACATATGCAGGGATAAACATAAAAAAAACAACAAGCAATAAAATAAAAAAAATAATAAAAAAATTTAAAACACATGGCCTGATGATTGCATTTAACACAGACTGTTGCCACTGGGTGTTGACTTCAAGGTTCACTTTTATATTTATACATTTATCCAATAATAGCTCAACTGCATTATATATATAGTATTACACAACAAAATCCAAAATTACCTCATATGGGGTATAGATCTATTTCAACTGTATTAATTTTTTGATGGATGTCACAGTTAAATTTCTAATTCTAACACGAACTCAGGGAGTGAATAAGACTGACAAAGTTTTCGGCAGTTGAAATAGATCTATTCCCCATATGAGGTAATTTGGGAGTTTGTTATGTAATACTAATCATTGAGCTCTTTTTGTGGATCAGTTTTAATATTTTATATTACTAGGATCCACTTGGAATATATACCAATGGATTTATTACCTTTACTATATATACCAACATACACACATATATTTGTCCAATAATAGCTTAATTGAACTGGATATGATCAATAAATAATTATCAATAGCACAAAAATTAACTGTATCTGACCATCCAGATTTTTATCACATTTGTCTCTTACCACTTTTCGATATAGTACTTGAGGCTGTACACAATGTTGAATTGGTTAAGCATCTTACTTTGCACAACCTCCTTTCAAACAAACAATATGGCTTCCGTTTCACCAGGATATAGAAGAATTAGGAACAGAAATATTAATGATGAGCAGAAAGAGAGTAATCAGGTGGACAGTAGATAGTGATTGCATTTAGACTTTTGCAAATTATAGTTGGTAGGAAAGCACGGAGCTTGAAGGCAGTTCCACAAGCGAGAAGTGTGAAAGAAAAAACTGTTAACATAGAACTTACTGCTACATCTAGCCAGCTCCACTGTAAATTGATGAAATCTCGATGTCAGTCTAGTGCTGCTCTTAAATTAAAAAAAAAAAAAGGAACTCTAGGTACCATAGTGAAAAGCTCATCTGAACTATTACCATGAAAGTATTTATAGAAAAGATGCAGAAAGGCAACCTTACAGCAGTGGGAAAGTGACTGAATCTGAGCTGCCAGATAAGGACCAATAATATTGCTGATTCTACTTTGGATCTTATCATGGAGCTCAAGGTAAATAGCAGGAGCACTGGACAATATGTGGCAGCAATATTCTAAGCATAGATGAATGGTAAATTTATGCAAGATAGATTTTAGTTGTGGCTGGTCACAGTTCACTAGAAATTTATTATCACATTGTAAGGCTCTTGAGTTCTCTTTCTCTGGTGTACCCCTTTAGCAGACTCCATTAGTTGTTTATTTTACACACATAATATATATGCTGAACTCTTCAGTCATTTTTGATGTATAAGGGTCAAACAACTCAGTTCTACCTGCATTTAATTCAGTGTTCTCCTTCTCCATGACTGCTGACCATCCAAAGCTATAGGACTCAGCCTGTCCTACTATTTACTCATATCTGGGGGGAGAAAAGATGGATTCATACCTTTCCCAAGGGTAATAGCGCATAAGTGAATTTAATGAACTCGACTGGAATTTGAACTCAGCTCTCCGTTTCCTCAATCTGAGTCACTATTCATAACTCCACCATGCCTCTGTCTGTTTCTCTCTCTTTTGTAGGTTGAGCACTTTGGAAGAAAGGGAATTTGTCGGCTACTGCCGATTAATGACATAAAGCTCTTCGCTATGAATTGAGCCCTCTGGTAGTCGGTAATGCTTATATCCTGTATATAATGCATTAAAAATTCCCTTTCTACATAGCATGCACTGATGGCTTAAGGGTGAGAGTCTTCAAATGTTGTCAGATCAGTTGGGTTTTGATCTCAGCTTCAAGCAATCACATGTCTAGCCACACTGATGAGCTGTGATACAGTGAAATAGTGTCTGTGGATGACTATATAAAAAAAAAAAAAAAAAAAAAATTAAATCCGGTACTGAACAGAATCAACTATGAATACTGCAGTAATGTTCTGAAATGCCTGTAAAGAAACATTTTTTTCATGCTTTAATGCACACGTGACTGTGACATTCTAACAGAGAGAAAAAATTCCATAATGGATAATTTTTCACGTTCTAATGAGCGCTGGGCACATTGCCAACCATTTTGCATTTAAAAGCATATTGAAAAATTATGGTAATGAATAGCAACACACAGCTTTGTATAAATACTTGAACCCCTGAACAACATATAGTTTTGTACTACTTGCACCCCTGAAGATGATCTTGGAAGAAGATTGAAAAGTACTTGGGAAATGAAAATAAAAGAAATTTAAACATGTATAGCACATTTCTCTCATCCTTTAACATCAATACACAGAAGGTTATTCATGAGTATGAACGAATTTTGTTAAAAATTAGCAGACATAATATCTGTAATTTATTCAATCAGACATGCCTAAAAGAGAATTTGCTGCCTAAATAGACAAATTTTAGACTATATATATATATATATATATATATATATATATGATCACCATCTGTTTTGTAAGTTATCAAAAAAAGCATTACTAGTTTGTTCAGTTTCCACCGTTGAAGCCTCATGCCAGTCTAAGCAAACGATATATATATATATATATATACACACACGTATGTATGTATGTTAGAATATGATTTGATCTGTTATGTTTGTTTTGTTTATATTCGATAAAAACATTTCATGTTTCAAGAATGGTTTCTTTCTCTTGGCAATCTACAGAATATTTTTTATCTATTTTTGGCAATCAAAATTTAAAAAAAAATCCTTTTCTTTGTTTTTTGTTTTGTTTATCTCTTCTGTCCTTCCATCTTGTGTTCTATTGGCATCAGATGTCTTCCATCCTTTCCACTATTTTCATTTGACAGACTTGGATGGTATTCAAGCATTTTACTTGGTCTGAGATTTTTTTTTTTTCTTCAGTCTTGTTGTGTATTATATATATATATATATATATATATATATAAAAACAGATTTTTCGTTCTTTGGGGTTTTGATAAAATATTGCAACTCAAACTGCTGGCAGAAATTTTATACGCATTCTTTATACTATTTTGTCATTTCTCTTTCTTTCTCTCTCTCTCAGACTCATTTTACATATGTGGAAACACACACACGTGTATATATATATATATATATATATATATATATATATATATAGAGAGAGAGAGAGAAACAGTAAAGGAGAAATATAGTTATGCATATATCATTTCTTCTCTTTACCTTCTTTTTCTATCAATTTTCTTTTTCTCTTCATTTTTGTCAGTTTTCTTTATATTTCTCTTTCTTTCTTTCCTTCATTTTTTGCTTTTTCCTGTTTCTCTTTAATCTTCATCTCTCTCTCTTTCACTCTCTCCTTTTTCTATCAATTTTCTTTTTCTCTTCATCTTTGTCAGTTTTCTTTATATTTCTCTTCCTTTTTTCTTTCTTTTTACTTTATTTTTCTTTTTTATTCTTTCAATGTCTCACCATCTTTTGTCTCACTCATTGATCTTCTCTTTACTGCTTTGACCCTTTTTGTACTTCTCTATTTTCATCACTCTGTCTATCTCTCTCTTTCTCTCTGCATTTTTCTTCCTTTTTTTCTTCCTTTTTTTTTCCTTCTTGTTCATTTTTCTTTTCTTCTTCTAGCTATTCTTCTCACTCTTTACTTTCTCATTTTGTCAGCTCTCCAGCTGAATTTTCTTTCAAGTTTTTCAGCAATTATTGAAACGTCAGTGAACATAACAAAAAAGATAATGGAGTAAAATTAAAGGAATAGGTGAAAAAAAAAAAAAAAAAAAGAAGGAAGAAATGAAAAAGCAAGAAATTAAAAGAAAAAAAATATAACTGAACATAAGTGATATAAAGCAAAAATGAAAACGAGGCAAATGAAGAATAGATTAAAACAAATGAAAACAAAAATAAATGAAGGAGAATTGACAGAATGAGGGAACAATACAAATGAAAAAATGAAGTTCAATAAAAAGACTAAGAAGAAAAGTAAAGAAATAAGAACATGATAAAAAGAAAGAAGAATGTAAAAAAGGAAAAAGAAAGTGATTTAGAACAAGAATATGATGAAGAAAATGTTGAGGAAGAAGAAGAAGAAGAAAATGTTGAGGAAGAAGAAGAAGAAGAAAATGTTGAGGAAGAAGAAGAAGAAGAAGAAAATGTTGAGGAAGAAGAAGAAGAAGAAGAAGAAGAAGAAGAAAATGTTGAGGAAGAAGAAGAAGAAGAAGAAGAAGAAGAAGAAAATGTTGAGGAAGAAGAAGAAGAAAAAATGTTGAGGAAGAAGAAGAAGAAGAAAAATGTTGAGGAAGAAGAAGAAGAAGAAGAAGAAGAAGAAGAAAATGTTGAGGAAGAAGAAGAAGAAGAAAATGTTGAGGAAGAAGAAGAAGAAGAAAATGTTGAGGAAGAAGAAGAAGAAGAAAATGTTGAGGAAGAAGAAGAAGAAGAAAATGTTGAGGAAGAAGAAGAAGAAAATGTTGAGGAAGAAGAAGAAGAAAATGTTGAGGAAGAAGAAGAAGAAAATGTTGAGGAAGAAGAAGAAGAAAATGTTGAGGAAGAAGAAGAAAATGATACAGAAATGGATCAAGCTGTTGTTCAGGAAAAAGAATAATAAGAAAAAAAATAAGATCAGGAAGAAAAAGAATATGAAGAAGAAAAAGAACAAGATGAGAATATATAAAGAAGGAAAAGTGCATGATGAAGAAGAAGAATATGAAAAAGGAAAAGAATATGAGGAAGAAAATATAAAGGAAAAAAAAGATGATGGAGAAAAAGAATATGAAGAAGAAAAAGAAAGTGAGAAGAAAGAAGAATGATAATGATGAAGAGAGTCAAGCAGATGATGAAGAAAATGAATAAGAAGAATAAAAAGAACATAAGGGAGGGGAATATGAAAAAGAACATGAAGAAGAAAAAGAATATGACAAATAAAAAGAACAGGATGAAGAAAATAATATGAATAAGAAAGAATATAATGAGGAAGAAAAACATGAAGAATAAAAAGAAAAAAGAAACATGAAAAAAAGAATATGAAAAAGAAAATGATGAGGAAGAAGAATATGAGGAAAAATGATATGACGAGGAAGAATATGAAGAAGAAAAAGAATGTTATGAAGAAAAAGAATGTTATGAAGAAAAAGAATGTTATGAAGAAAAAGAATGTTATGAAGAAAAAGAATAGGAAAAAAGAACATTATGAAAAAGAATATGAAAAGAAAATGATGAGGAAGAATAATATGAAGAAAAAGAACATTATGAAGAATAAGAAAAAGAATATTTTGAGGAAGAATATGAAAAAATAAAAATGATACAATGAAGAAGAATAACATGAAGAAGAAAGATGATATGATGAGGAAGGAGAATATGAAGAAGAAAAAGGACATAATGATGAAAAAGAATATGAACATGAAAAAGAATATGAAGGAGGAAAAGATCCTTATGTAGAAAAATAATATGAGAAAGAAAAGGGAAAGAGAATATGAAAATGAAAAACAATATAATGAAGAGAAAGAATATGAAGAAAAAAAAAGAACATGAGAAAGAAGTATATGAAGAAGAAAATTTACATGATTAGGAAGAAGAATATGAATGAGAGAAAAATATTATATGGAATAAGAATATGAAGTAAAAAAAAAAAAAAAAGCAGAGGATGAAAAAGAAGAAGAATATGAAGAAGAAAATGACCATGACGACCAATAAAAAGAATATGAAGGAGAGATAGAATGTGGGGAAGAAGAAAAATATTATGATGATGAAGAAGAACAATCTGATGAAGAAGAAAATGAACAAAATAAGGAAGAATAGAACACCAAAAAGAAAAACAGAAACGGGGGCGGATCAAACACACAACCAGAAAGATAATGTTTCACTTAAAAACAAATGTGATGATCATTATAAAACAATAGAATCTGGCCAAAAACCTCAAAAAAAAAAAAAAAACTAAATAAACTAAAAAAAAAAAAAAAACCCTCAAAAACTAACCAAAGAAATATCCACAAAACGGAGGTTATTTTTTCTGAAAATCTTCTATTTAACTTCTTATATGTGAAAATATATGCATACGTATATGTGCACACGATTGCATCTCTATAAAGATCTATGAGCATACCTTGCAATGAACTTGCAATTATTGTATAAGTATATATACCGCTGTGAATATAAATATATTTAGCTGGATTTTTGTGTTAATGTGTATGAATCATATTTAATTCTATAATTGTTCTTTCATTTATTAGCAGCCTGGTTAGTACTTGCATGTGAGACAACTTGGAAACACTGGGTACTTGTAAGCGACTGCTTGCATTCAGAAAAACGTTTCAGCTTTAAATAACCCGCAAAGCCTTAAGTAAGCAAACAAATCAAAAAAAGTAAATCATTAGTTAACATGTGGATTACACCTGTCATTGCCACTGATAAATAATGGGCAATTACATTTTGATTGTGAGAAAAAACAGAAGATGATATATCGGAGATGCTGTTTGATTTTAGTGAGAAAAATAAAACTTAGATAATACTAGCTTAAAAGCCATCCTATCAGGCAGCATATAATCTAGCACCTGTGGAGTATTGGTGGTGGCATTCATAGACAACTCAGCAGATTTGAGGATATCAGTACATTCACAGTTCCTCACAGAGCATATAGAGAGAGTTCTTTAATGTGTGATGTTGTTATTCAATGATGCCGGAACTTTGCGAACACCAAGAACAGTGAAGGTGCTGCATGACTGATGTCATCCCATAGAAGTTCTTATACATTTCGCTTGTGAAGTGGATGCCATGATCAGAAGATACATTACAGGATAACTCCTGGTGGCAGGGGAAAAATCTGTAAAGTCCACAAGCCACATTGATCGCACAGTCTTTGGCACATGGAGTCGCTGTGAGATGTCAGGTAAACCTGTCCAAGATCCAGTGTTTGCCCTTAGAGAGTGGCATCTTGATGAAGTCAGTGTATACGACCTTGAAAGGTCATTTGCAATGTCTGCTGGGCCAGTTGGGATGCTTGCCATAATTCCCCTTGCATCCAGCGCAGGTATTGAATGATTCGACGTATGCCTTAATGTCGCAGTTTTTGAACTCCCACCAATAGTTTGATAAGTGTGTGCGCATCTGATTGATACCAGAGTGATTGATGCAGTCATGGGCTTGAGGTAGATATTTGGCTCAGAGATTCTATAGTACAATGAGTTTGGGCACATTTTAGGAGTCTTTTGGCATCAGGGTGGATGTACCTGGTACTTGATAGAACCGTTGTTGGTATTTTTGATAGATTGCTGCCCCATGATCACTGGGATCAATTGTGATGGTGAGTGTAGATACTTCACCCGAGTTCATTGTTTGTAGGGCTTTGACGATCCTCGCCAGCTTGTCAGAAACTTGTTCAGCTCTGATGTTAATGTGGTCTGATGTTAATGTCCTCTATAGAGATGGTTGGGATGATGCAACAGGCAAAAAGTGCATCGGTGGCCTGTCTGTGAAGTTTGAGGCTCTGTGGTGTGCAGTACAGAGAGCAATTGTGTACCCTTAAATTCTCTGAAATATTATGATGAGACAGATGCGAAGCTTGAATTTCTAAAGTCTGAATGTTTTGCCCACTACAGTCGGATTGGCTGGTAGGTTGGTCTTTATGCTGTGCTTTCTGCTGAGCATGTTAGCCCAAATATTGGAGTTGCCCTTTGTGTATTCTAAGATGAATTTATAGCTGGATATTTTTTCCTGTCATCATTGAATTTTTGCAGTATTGATTTCACGCTGGTTGAGGTATATCAGTGAATGGCAGTTAGTGAAAATAATGAATGGGCGGCTATGCAAAAAACAATCAAATTTAGATATGGCCCATTTTATTGTGAATGCTTTGCATTCAGTAGTGGGCCAGATCTGTTCTGTTAGGCTGAAGGTGTAGGAAGTGAGAACTATGATCTTTTCTGTTCATTGCCAGCTCTCTGCATAAGGATGGCACCGCAAACAACGTCATTAGCGTCTGTGGTGAGTGTGAAGAGCTAGTGAAATTTGGAAATGAGATGACTGGTGATGATAAGCATCACTTAACTTTTTCAAAAGTCTTGTCGGCCTTTTCTATCCAAACAAACGGCTTATAACCACCTTGATTTGTAAAGGGAAATCTCCAGAAATTGGTGTATCCAGACAAGACGTCCTATGAGACTTTGGTGCTCCTTTCTGGTAGTGGGTAGCTTCATCTCAACAATGGCACAAATGTATTCTGGGTCAGGTTTGAACCCTTCGTAGTCAACAATGCAACAGAGAAATTTGACTTCTGAACAAGGTGTACTTTTTTGGGTCGAGTTTCAGCCTAAACATTTAAAGAGCAATGCATAGCTGTTCCTGCATGATGATGTAGTCACGAAAAATGGACGAGGTTGTCATCAACATATGAGATATTTTCCCGTGAAGCAATGGTAGTCTATGCTTCGCCTATGCACCAAGAAAAGATTTGACCAGCAGATATTAGACCAAAGGCTAGATGGATACATTGGTAACATCGATCCTTCCAGGTGAATGCAGTTTTGTGGCAGTCCCGTTTCTTGATGGGGATTTGCTAGTATCCATTGTGGAGACTGACGGATAAAACGTATTTGTTTCCCCTCGCTGATATTGTTAAAAATAGAATCAATCATTGGCATCGGATACATGTCTAAATCTTTGATCTTTCTTATTTTATACTGAAAATGAAATGAATAAAACATATAACAGCAATAAGACTTTGAGACACATGCTGACATTAATAACAAAAATATGT